TGTGTTCTACTGAAGAAACAAAGTCACCTACATCTTGGATGCCCTGGGGGTAAGCAGATAAACATCACATTTTCATTTTTGGGTGAACTATCCCTTTAATATATATATATATATATAACATTTAATGTATACATACACAGCTATTTTTTATTTGGAATTGTAATATAAATTTAATGTTACTTTTTAAAATATTTTTATATAGGTTGCTTATTGTATAAATACACACATTCATAATATGAATTGTAATAATTCATAATAGGTTAATTAATATATTATAGTTTAGTATTTAATATTTCAATCAGATTTTTATATATAAATTTAATCTGAGATCTCTTTAATTTAAAATTAAATATAAATATATTAAAAATCAACATTAAACATTACAAATTATTTTTTACATTTAATAATTTTTATGTATCCTATATATATTTTTTATAGTTTGCTCTAAATATTCCATTCATTCATTCATTCATTATAATTAACTATAATAATTCTTAATTAATACATTTTAATGTTTTTGTTTAATATTTCATATTTTTATTGAATTTGAATCGAAATTTTAATCTGAGATTTTATATATTATAATTATTTATTTACAACAAAGCAGTGTCCATATGTCCACTGAATTGGTAAGTCTCAGGAGGTTAATGCTGAAATAACACGTTTGTATGTACAGTAAAAGACTAAAGCAATACTATATTAATATTATATATTTTAGTGAGGATATTTAGTTTTAAGAAATAATGCACTGTTGGAAATATATGTTTTCTTTATATAAAGCTCTCTTATTGAGAGATATGCACGTTTGAATGAAGCACTCAGGGTGTTGAATTTGAGAAAGCGCATGTTTCATAAAATCCCTGTTTTATGCCTGCCTGCCTTGTTATATAAATAAACCAGCCTGTTTATTTGTATTGTGTTCTTGTTTAATACATTTTAAAAAGTTGGTTTCAAACGTGGCTTATTCTCTCTCCTACAGTACAGCTAAAGGTGTACCTTATGAATATTAATTAGGTGACTGTTTAACAGAATATAATTATTATGACGTTGCTTGGCAACCGCACTGGCCTGTCCAGTGGCTTACCTTAATCAATATTCATGAGCCTTTTTCAATTCGTAAATTCAGCCCGGCTTAACTGAGAAACGCTGCCATCATTTAACAGAATATAATTATTATGACGTTGCTTTGCAACCGCACTGGCCTGTCCAGTGGCTTACCTTAATCAATATTCATGTGCCTTTTTCAATTCGTAAATTCACGCCCGGCTTAACTGAGAAACGCTGCCATCTTGTGTATGAATATTAATCAGGTGACTGATTTACCAGAATATATTTATGCTTATGTTGCTTGGCAACCGTCCTGGCCTACCCAGTGGCTTACCTTCATCAATATTCATGAGCCTTTTTCAATTCGTAAATTCAGCCCGGCTTAACTGAGAAACGCTGCCATCTTGTGTATGAATATTAATCAGGTGACTGATTTACCAGAATATATTTATGCTTATGTTGCTTGGCAACCGTCCTGGCCTACCCAGTGGCTTACCTTCATCAATATTCATGAGCCTTTTTAAATTCTTATTCACGCCCGATTTAACTGAGAAACGCTGCCATCTTGTGGCCACACCAGGCAGTACTAGTGGTTGTGAAGTTGACCCACATATTATTAATGGTGCATTCAGTTTAGCTAGCATTAGCATTCTTCCTGTACTAGACGCAGTATGACTTTCTCTTGAGTTTTATAATATATATATATATTGTGTGTATATAATTATATTGTGAGTTTTAGAGAGCGGTTAACATGATAATTAGATATCTTACCTGTCTAACACAAAAAAAGAAGCAAATTGTCACTACTCAGGATTGTTCAGCATCAAAACATTCCACCGTGTTATTGCCACGTTTATGCTGGTTTTGTGTTTGATGGCAGCAGCCAATGAGCGCGAGGATGGGCGATAGCTACCACTTGTTTTGTTTTCGATACCGATACTTTTAAAGTCCAGTATCGTCGATGTCAATATGATACTTCTAAACTGAACTTTTAAATTATTAAATTTATTAAATTATTAAATGACTATGAGTAAAATGCTTTAATGGTTAAAATATGTTTACTGTAGTGGTAACCATGGAAATCTACAAATACTACTATAGTTGAATTATACGGTCACTTCAGTAAAACCATGGTTCATTTTCATAAGGGACTGCCAGTGAAAGGCTGTTTTTTAAAAGGCCTTTTTATTCTGACAGCTATGATTTATACTAACATTATGATCAATGTTAAATTTTTACATTCAAATTAAATGTAATTGCACAAACTATGTAGACTACAATTTCATTTTTTTAATTGTGAAATAACTCAAACATGTGTTTTTTTTTTCTGTCCTCTGATAAGAATTGTTCTGGGCTGCGCTCCTAAAAGCATTAATGGTTTCTTATGATACTTTTGGGAAACGCAGCCCTGTTTGAATGCACTGTCATAACGCTCTCTGTGGTTGATACGTTCTGTCTTGCATCATTTGCGATCAGATGAGCAGGAAAATAGTTATATCCTACACAATTATTCGTCCAATTCAATGCATATTGTACGCATTATTTTTTTTGTTAAATAAACTAAATCACTCGTAAAAAAAAACAAAAAAAACACCTTAGTGTCGATATTTTATTTGAGAATCGATACTTTCGATACTCGCATCAGTATCAATATGTATCGATAGTTCAGGATCGATATGCTCATCCCTAGTCGTGACAATTCAACATGGTGAAACACATTGAGGGGCGACCCGCACCATTCATATAATTCAAAACGTTTTATAGAAAACTATTATAAATACAGTCTTCATCTCATGTGCATGCACCATTCTACAGAAGCCTGTTTCCTCCACGGAATAACAAAATTAAGCTAATTGCACATTTTTTTCTCTCGGTTTTGAAAAAAAAAAAAAAAGATATTGTGAGATAAAAACTTGCAGAATTACAAGAAAATAAATCAGAATTCTGAGTTTGTATCTGGCAATTCTGACTTTATTTTCAGAGTTTTAGGAAACAACGTCCAATAAAAATGTAAAAAGGTAATTGTGACTTTATTATTACTATTATTATTATTCCATGACTGAAACAGGCTTCCATTCTATTCAGGTGATGCTGCACAAAAACACAACATATTTATTAATGTGTAAAACATTTAAAATGATCACCAAACGACTACTACTTCACCTTTAAATCGGTAAGCTCCAAGTCTGAACTAACAAGTTTCAAAGGATGTCAAAACATCGAGGACCTTGGTTGCGTCCGAAATCGAATACTCTCTTGAATAGGTACTTTATTTTGAATTAGTAATTACTTCGTGACCGCAAACAGACTATGTTCTACCCTTACGAAAAAGAAGTTTATTCAAGTGTACTATTAGTGTACTTCTTTTAAACTAAAAATAGGAAAGTATACTTTTAGTCTACTTTTTCTGTACTTCTCAGAAATGGGCTTTATGTACTTCTCAGAAATATACTTAAAATGACATTTAAGTATACTTAACTTATACTTAAAAGTCTAAATATATTTGAGCTACTGTATACTTGTGTTCCTATAATCCGTGTTTTCATTGTTATACTGTAGGGGGCGCTAGTACACATCTTCTGTACAGAATTTCCAAAAAACACAAGTGAAGAAGAAACCGAAACAACAGACGCTTCCACATGTAATCTAACACGATCATCAGACATAAAACAGCATCAAAACTGTGTAACGTTGATGTAATGTCGACCAATGAAGAGGTAATAATAACTGTGAAGCTTTGGGGTGTTGATCGACTTTATCTACGTTTTGATTATCATTCTGAATCCAATTCAATTTTTCTTTCAGCTTTTTGTTCAAACTGTTGTTTATTTCTTTATTTTTTATGAAACTTGCCACATTCAAGTGTTTAAGAAAAGAATGCATGAAGCTAGAATAAAATGTTTTTGTTTACAAGCAGTACATCGTATGAATGTGTGTTCAATAGTATGAACATAAACTGAATGTACTACAGTCACCATGTTGTTACTGTCACGTGACCTACCAGCGCCAGTTGCGTCACGTCACTGCCATTCCTAAACCCTCTCCTGTGGCCTCATGGGATAGTAAAGTGTCCATCATATGCACACTTCAGAATCACGCCAGAACCGGGTACTTTTTGCCTACTCTTTTATGATTACTGTGAATTCGGACATGTTTCTTTTTTCACATACTGTTTTTTGCCGACTATATAGTAGGGAAGTTTGTGATTTCAGATTTTTTCCTGTCTCAGTAATGAAGTAAACACAACACACCGAGGTAACGTGGCATTTCTTGTTTTAATCTGATTATATTTCGCAGAGCTTAAAATATTAAGTGGCTTTTAATTTAAGATAATTAAAATACATAAAAAAGAAAGCAAGAACTGAGGAACTCTGCAAATAGATAAAGTAAAAATAAAATAAATAAGGAGGAGAGATGCTCTCTCGCTAAAGGCAATTATTGTGATTTCTTATATAGTTACAATCTATTTCTTGAGAAACAAAATGAATGTGCATTTTCTACACACATGAGCAGCCACAATATCCATGACCTCTGCTAACTTAAGAATAAAAACGTGAAATAAAAAATAAAGGTTGCGACGCTGGAGGATGTGCTCATCAATGCAACACAGTCAAAGTCAACTGCCATGCAACAATGCAGCGTCTCTCTGAGCGAGCAGACATCGCCGATATCCTTGTTGGAAACCTACAAAGCAAGTCCAGACTTTCTCTAAAGCATCATTCAAACCATCAAACCCTTTATACATCATCTTAAAAGGCTAATAAGTACATATAGAAATATATATATAAAGAACAAAGAAATGGATAATGATGGCTAGAATATGAAAAAGAGATTTTGCACTAGGTTTATGTGAAATAAGGCTGCAGAGATCATAAACAGTCAGTCGGTGTGTGTGAGACGTCACTCCCTCCACAAGGGGGAGCCAGAGGTCAATGATAACTTTCTAGACATTGTTGCATATAAACAGACAATACCGTAGCTACAAATCTAAGGCACTGATGAGAGCCGAGCTGAAACACCATTCCCTAAAAGAAAACGAAAACCTCCACGAGCGCATGCACAAAAATAATAATAAAAATGCAAATTAAAATATAAATTGTTCCTGTATAAATGAGAATGTAGACAGATTGTTTCGTCCTGTAGGAAACATTCACACCAATCTGTGCTGGTACGAGAACTGCAGGCCACCGGCCTTCGGCCCCATCTTTTGAACAGTTCTCACGGTGAGAAATAGTGATGCAGGGGCCCTTCCAAAGAGGACTTGCACGTTTCGTCGTCTTCCTCGAGTTCGAGGCTCATCTCTCGGTCACATGATTGTGTGTATGGGGCGGCAGGGGGGCGCACAGCACCTCCGACAGGTCGTCCATGATGCAGGTCTCCTTGGGTTCGACCAGGTTGAATTCTCTGACGAAGACGATGAAATGTGTGTACAGTGTGTTCAAGTGTCCCTGCAGCTCCAGAGCCACGGTCTCTTTAAAGTGAGCCCAGTAGATGTGAGCCAACACGTGAAACAGATACCGGCAGACCTTCTTCACCAGAGACTCGAATGAGTTGGGAAAGTCTTTGCCTGAAAGCAAATCGAGATATTTATCATTCAGCATTTATCACTGATTGTTATTTAATGAAAAGAATTTAAAAGTAAATAAAAATGATAAATTATTATAATCACTTTAATAAAATGATTATTATAACAACATGCTAGGATTACCCACTAAAACCTTAACAAAAGGTATTTATAATATTTTGCAGGCCTTTTCAAACACTACCACGAATGTGGAAATAATAAAATAAAGTCATTTATTATTTGTCATTCATTTTCAATTTCATTGCATTTATTGAATGAAAATTTGAATAATTAAAAAATATATTATTAAAAGAAATAATCAGGTTTAGATAGGAAATTAATAATGTAATTTATTGCTTGTAATTAAATCAATTGTTAACTGATGTTTTTTTTTAAATATCAAATATCTTGGATTACAAAAAATTAATTTATATTATTATTATTATTATTTACAATGATTTATAATGATTTTTACTTTTATTAATATACTATTAGAGTTTCATTGATATTTTGAATTACATTTTATTTTTATATTTTCAGTTTTCAATTTAATATACAAGTTTTAGTCTTTTTGTTGCGTCTGTTTTTATTCTATAGTTTTTATTAAGGTTTAATTTATTTTGATTTAGTTATTTTAGTATTTCAACTTAAAATGAAAACGACAAATGTAGTTGAAACAAAAAGTAAATATTTTATTTGAGTTAATAAAGTAATACGTTGTTTACGGTTTTAGTCTTTGTTAAACAAAATAACACCAATTTGTATATTAATTCAACCAAAATATTTATTTTTTTGTTATTATTTACTTTAAATGACAAGCAATAAACTAAATTTAAAACAAACAGGCACAAATTTTGAATTCAATTTCATTTCCTAACGAGTTGAACCCAGAAGAGAGCCAGAAGAAATTCTATTCACAAAACTTATCCTCCTCTATGAACACTAGAGGGCGCCACTGATCTAAGGAGCTTGAATCTAAACTCGTGTACTTCTGTATTATGACTGCTAGAGGGCTGTGATTATACACACCGTATTTTGTGGGGAAGATATCTTCGTCCGTCACTAATTTCTGCACGAAAGTCATGACAAGGTCAACATACTGAGGTGCTGTGCACTTCGTCTTCTTCCCCCTCTCGTCATACCAGTAGTATATGCTGTAACAGAAGAAGACAATGAGTCAAAATTAACGTATTCACATTTCGAGCACTTCAGGACAAAGTGAACAATTTATGGTTTAAAAACGTACAGCTCCTATCAGCATTTTAAGGAGGACTGGCCATCGTGACAGTGAGTTTGGGAGGGTAGCGTGGGTTCGAGGGGCTGTAGACATTACAAATCTCTAAGAATGCAAACTGAACGCATAACTGACCTCACAGCAGAGAGCCGCTGACCGCAAACCAACGCTGATCATTCAACGGATGAGCAGCCCACACATAAAACCAAACGGGACGAAATAAAGATCGCTGAACGTTGAACTGAAAGAACCGTCACGGTAAACTAAAGCACAATTAGCACGTAAACACAGACGCTACAGACGAGTAAATATCGGGCTGAATGCTAGCGAGTGTCTGTGTTCTCAGATATCGTCAAACTACACGCTTGAGTTACAGATTTGAGAGTGGATTCCAAGTCCAAACACTGAATCTACCTGCATAAAACTCTTCAACAAAACGTGAAATATTCAGATTAAAAGGCCTACTAATCTAAACATGGTTATGCATATTCATGAGTGAGTGTTTTAGCACAATATGTACAATAGAAACAAGTGTTTAAAAATAAAAACTAACATTGATTTTCTGAACTTTTTTTATACTTTTGTCATTTTTGACACTTTTTCAAATTTTAGTGGAAAAAACATTTGTAATTTTTTTTTTTATATATTTATTAATTGTTTGTTTCATTCATATTTACAAAAATCTGGTTTAAAAGACTGTGAAAATTAAAACATTTTTGGAATAAAATGGCTAAATCTTTTTTTTTTTTTTTTTTTATGTTTTCAAAATTCTTTGAAAAATCAAAAGCCGCAAATCGATCTTTTCCAGTATTTATTTCAGCACACATTTAAAACAAGATCTGATTAACGTGAATCTTATCATTAGTCTTCTCCACCAGATCGCGATGTTACAACGGAAAGCCTGTCGTTCATTCAGCAGTTATCATGGCCATACGGAAAGCCTGTCATTCATTCAGCACTTATCATGGCCATACACAATTCTCACACTACAAAATATTATGTTCACAAGTGGTGTTTACCTTGATTCCCCCCCCTTTATTTTTCATCACAAGTCTCACATTTCATATTAAGCTTTTTTTTTTTATTAAAAAACTTTTCTTACTAGTAAAAATGTACACATTAATATTTCGATCATGGTGTAAATGACAATATGACGATGTCATAATTAGTTTAAGAAGTTATATAAATATTTACAAAATCAGTACTGAATATTTAACTGTTACCTCAGATTATGGTTTTATATATTATTTTTTTTTATTATTTTTTATTATTTTTAATAAAAAGTTTTCAGTTTAATGGAGAAAATCTGTCTGGGACAAGGGTAAGACAATAAAATTTAGGCATTAAAAAAGTTTGAAAAAGATGAAAAATAAATGTAAATGCAATAAAAATCAACCCATAGGAAATGGAAGTGTATGTATTTCAAGAAACACCCACTGAACGCACATAAGCATAATACCTCAACATATATGACCACATTTATAACTCAATAAACTGAACATCAGGTCTTTTGTCTTTTGATCAGTAATTGATTTCTCAATGGACAGAGCGGCGCGGTGATGGTAAATAAGGCTCGTGTTTTGATGAGCGCACCCATCCTTGTCCCGCGTGGAATGCCGGAGGTGAGCGTGTAATTGTTAGTGTTTTATGTGTTGGTAATTCACGTCCTTTAAAGGTCCCATGACATGCTGCTTTTTGGATGCTTTTATATAGGCCTAAGTGGTCCCTAGTACTGTATCTGAAGTCTCTTTCCCGAAATTCAGCCTTGGTGCAGAATTTCAGCCACTACGAGCCAGTCCCACAATGAGCTTTCCTTAGGACGTGCCATTTCTGTGTCTGTAGCTTTAAATGCTAATGAGGAGGAGAGAGGCGGGGCAACTGCCATGCTTCGCTCATTTGCAAGCCATGATGTCTCTCGAGGAACAAAAAATATTGCGCTCGCCTCGCACAGTAGTAGCTCATTTTCTCATGGGCGGGCCAAATTCTCTGGGCGGGCAAAGCAGAGAAAGGGGAGGTAACCTTTCCCCGTATGACGACATAAAGGGAAGATTCCAGATTGGGCCATCTGAGCTTTCATTTTCTCAAAGGCAAAGCAGGATACCCAGGGCTCGGTTTACACCTATCGCCATTTCTAGCCACTGGGGGACCATAGGCAGGCTAGGGGAACTCATATTAATGTTAAAAAAACCTCATAAAGTGACATTTTCATGCCATGGGACCTTTAACATCTGTCATGAATAGTCATGTTTCTGGTTCTACAGGGTCAGTCTTTAGAGATTCACACCCAGGCTTCACTGCGGCCAAACAGGGCGAACGAGTCGAGCAACGATTTTAACGTCAACACGGTTAGCTGTGGGAATGTGCAGATGGAGGCACGTCTTTCCGTTTAACTTGTAGAAGGGAGATTCTACAATTACGGGCATTTTTTGAATGCTTGAAATCTGAAAATGAAACTTCTTGAATCTGTTTCATCAGCCTTCAAGTGGATTTTGGTATAATGTATAAGGGTGGATTATTAATATTGTGTGTGATGGTAATGACATCGTTCACTTATTTGGAGAAAATGTTTCATAAGACAGTTAACTATGTGAAGATATACTCAAAAACTGAGTGCTTTGGTAATAAAGCTGCTCTCGTATCATAAAAAAAAAAAAATAAATCTAAGCCAATGACATTCCTTACTATGGTGTAATCATTTCCATCATAATGAAGTTTAAACTATTTTATAGAAATTCAGTTCTCTAAAATGCTTAGTATGATGGTAATGACAGCTGCTTTGGAAACAGCAAATCTTTGTTATAGAAACATTACAAATTCTTAAAATAAACAAAAAAGTGATTGAAATATTATTACAGAATAAAATAATAATTATTGTTGATTATTAATGTACATTCATTTTATATTTATTTTATTATTTTTAGTAATATTAATAAAACATTTTTATTAATAACAATATATTCTATATATTTGTTTTACATTTATATTTATTCTTATATTTTTAACAACAGAACAGCAACAATAATACTTTAATTATGTTGTGTATTATAAATTATTTAAATCATTTTATATAATAATAATACTTATTATTATGAATTATAAATTATTTTATATTATTATTGTTGTTGTTGTTTAAGTTATTAGGCAAAAATACTAAGTTTTCTGGATACTTGCTATATATTATAGAGAAGTTGATACAATTTTAAGTAGGGGAATGCGCAAAATTGACATACTGGGAAATTTAAATGACACAATACTTTTAAAAATGGGTAAAAATAATTCGTGCTGGTCAAGAGACTAAAGTTGTAAGGTAAATGTTGTCATAAGTAATTTTATAACTGATCTCTTTCATCTTAAGTTCGGGCCTCTGATCTTCCCAAACAGCCTGAGAGAACATTCAACTATAGGCCTTTAAGGTCATTTAATTGGTTCCACCTTGAACAGACTTACAAAACCCCTAATTCTGAGAATAGCTCCCTTGTATTCTCTCGTTCAAAACACATCTGAAAGCCAAACAAGCACTGGCTTCAGTACGATGTGTGTCAGCTTTCATTCCAGTCATGCATTAACCCCAATCAGACCCACAAACCCAGATTCATACAAAGCTAGTGTGCTGATCTGGGATCTGATCTTAAAATGGAAAAACATTGCGAATAGGAGAAATATCTGATCCAGAAGCAGTTCTCGTGAGAAGAGTGTTCTGGTTCTCGCCCCAGGACATATCTGGAGGAAGAAAGAGCAAGAAAGACAGGCAAAAGAAAGAAAGAGAAAGGGAAACTCACGTGTTGCAGGCCGTCATGGCTTGACATGTGTCCCCAGTGCAAAACTCTGAGATTGTGCTATACTGCAGATTTATCAGATTGAAGAAGGTTGTTGCTGCAAAGAACAAAAGAAAAGTTTTAAAAGGTGACATTCAAAAAGTTATGAAAAGTCTTTCACGGATATTTCAGAATAAATAAAGCTGAAGACAATGGCTCTGTTCCAAAACCAAATAAGCTCCCTATGAAGGCAGCGTTTTAAGATGTCACAGTCACGCTCATGGGGGGTTTGGTCGGTGAACAAAGGCCTTCTGTAGCAAATCGATGCTTTTTTGTAAGAAAAATATCCATATTCAAAACTTAATAATCTCTTTAATGTAGCTTGCGCTCACTGTTGTACACTGGAAGCAGTTCCGGGCGGATGACGTATGAGGTCGGCTTTGC